GATTTAAAGCATTAAATCAGTTTAAAGTCCAAACTGAAAGGTCGAGGTTGTTCCCTTTTTTCCTTTTGCCCCTTTTTTTAATTAACATCTAAACTGTTTGGGTCATCGCTACCCTCTCATCTCCACTTTAGGTGTCCGGTGAACTCCTGTTCTAAACGAAGGTTCAGAAGCACAGCTTAAAGCTGTGTCAGTAATGATGTGACAGACCGAGGGCATTAGCTGCTCTAAATGCAGCGACACTCGCTCCTCAGTGACTGATGAGCAGCGGAGTCGCCGTGTCAGTCCCCAGAGCTCAAACAGAGCAGCCAGGCCCACATCGCCCCCCCCGCCCCGCCCAGCAGCAGAGGGCTGGAGTCATCATCTCTGACTAACGGCCTTCACACAAGCCGCACTCCGGCTCATCTGAATGCATTCCCGCCTCCCTCCCCCGCGGTGCATGCATGGTTTACCACTAAAGAGCCTTTTTCTGGCACCTCATAATCGTTATCTGATAGCAAATAGAATAAATTGTAATTGCTTTTTTAAAGCGCAATCAATTTGAGATAATGCACAGAGACATTGGGCAAAGCGGCGTTTGCAGCTGGGTGCAGGAGAAGTCGATCAGTTTTTATTTACTAAGGGAATTTAATTACTCGACTAGAAACGTTTCTGGTGCAGTGGAGAATAACAGACCTTTATAGACGTGGGAAAGAAAAAAAAACACCAATTAATGTGCTAATGTTGTGCTTTTAGCATAAATGAGCAGATGTCTGTGGCATTTGGACAACAGTTTTCAATATCGTCTCTAAATGGTGTCGAGCTTCCTGTATCGTTTGGATTCATTAGCATCAATCAGAGCAGAAACAAATGATTCGCTTTAAAGGGATTATTTTAGATTTCTGAAGCGAGGTTCTGCTAAATGTTTGGAAGTAGGTAACATCTTACCTGCGGTTCCCCTTTAATGCAGAACGGCCTCTGGAGCGGACAGCTATTTAAAAGCTGTTATCATATGAAGTGTAACACTTTTATGCTCCCTGCAAGTAACATGTTCCTGTGTCTGCAGGAGCGCTGACGCTTCTGTAGGTGCGACGTTGGGTAATTAATTGGCGGCGTCTCATTCCTGGTGGCTGGGGGTCATGTCCTGTGAGGTCATTCATTTTATGGAAAGAAATGAATAAATAGGCCAAATCCAGCTGAAGCTCTAACATTACATGTCATGACTCTGCACTTTTTGGTTCTGTTTAAGTTTTCTTTTTGAGTTTTCAGTTACCGTATTTTTACGACCATAAGGCGCACCGTACTAAAAGGCGCAGTCTCAGTTATGTGTCCCATTACTGTATTTAACACACACATAAGGCGCACCCGATTTAACCTGACTCCGCCAGATGGATTTGCTCCGCATATCCATCTGGAAACCTTCCGTTGAAGTAATTTTGGGAAGGGGCGAAAATACTGGTT